CCCCCTTCGAGATGGTCGCGGGCGACGAGCGCTTCCTGGCTGAGGCCCGGCTCCTGGACCTGTCCGCGCTGGACGCCTGCCACCACCAGGTGAAGGCGTGGCCCACGGGCTCCCCGGCACCGCGTCTGCTGGCAGCCCCGGGGTGCGTCTCCCAAGGCCCTCGCGGCTGCCCCGCTCCTTGGGTCTGCGCCGGGAGGGAAACCGAGTCACGGCGCTTTTGCTGCCCACAGGTCGTGGCCCGGCTCCGCTCATCCTGCGCCGACATGACCGAGGAGGAGGTGGCCAAGCTGGGGGTGTCGCTCTTCAACTGCCAGGCCGGCGCCGAGGGGCGCCGCACCTACCCCTGCACCGCCGGCATGGTACGGGGGCCCGCCGGGGCAGCCGGGTCGAGACCCTCCGTCTGCACGGGGGCGGTGGAGCCCGTTGCGCCCCCGGCTCCGTACCATAACCCTGCCTGGCCCCCTGTCCCGCAGAGCCTCGCGGCGTGCACGTCCGACATGGACCCTGACACCTGGAACGCCTACCACATCGTCAGCAACCGGGCCCGCGCCGTCTGCTACGCCACCCGCCAGCTGCAGTTCAGGAGCCGGACAGAGCAGACGGTCAACGCGCTGGTCTCCACAGCCGCCGGGCAGCTGGAGGCCATGAGGTTGCTCAAGGTGGGTGTCCCAGCAAGGACCTGACATGCCGGGCAGCTGGGGTGACACGGGCCTTGGGTCCAGAGTGTGGCGGGCTGGCACGTGCAGAGCCTGGGGCAAGGGGAAGCACAGCTTGCCGGGCAGGCCGGAGGTGCTGGGCGCTGGGTGCGGCAGCCCAGGCTGGGGCTGGGCTGGGCCAGTGCTCCTGCTGGCACCAACCCGCAGGGTCCTGGCTGGAGGGTCTTGCCCCCGCGTTCACACTGCACTCAGCGCAGGAAGGGATTTCCCCCCAACTCAGACTGGTGCGCACTGGGGGGAAATCCCTTCCGTTACTGGTCTTCCTCTGTAACGGGGGCACGGCCTGGGCTTTCTGGAGGGGACATTAACAGCTTTTTACACAAGCAGGACATTGGAGGCTGCGGCTGTCTCAGCCCCAAAGGACCTTCTGTGCCCCAAGGCTTGCACGCTGCCTACCTGACGTGCAGTTGGTCCAATAAAAGATATCGCCCCAACACCCTGGCTTCTCCCATACTCTCTCAACCCCATTCGACTTGGGGCACTCTCCAAAAATACCGGCTCTTTGCTTTCACCCCATGTCTGACAACGAACAAGTCCTAGAGCAATTCTTCTGTTGCAAACAGCCCAGTGATCCCACAGCAGTGCAGAAGAGTTTGGACGCGGGAGTGCAGCAAGGGAGGTCGAGGTTGGATGTTAGGAAGAACTTTCTCACGAGGAGGGTGGTGAAGCGCTGGGACAGGCTCCCCAGAGCGGTGGGGGAGTCTCCATCCTTGGAGGTGTTTAAGACCCAGGTAGACAAAGCCCTGGCTGGGATGATGTAGTTGGGGCTGGTCCTGCTTGGAGCAGGGGGTTGGACTAGATGTGACCTCCTGGGGCCCCTTCAACCCTTGTTTTTTATAATTCCTGTTTGAAATAGTTTCATAGTTTCTAGGGTTGGAAGGGACCTGAGCAGATCGTCAAGTCCGACCCCCTGCCGTGGCAGGAAAGAGTACTGGGGTCAAACAACCCCGGCTAGGTGATTGTCTAGCCTATCTCCTGGTTTACCTTGTGAATCACGTGTCGGTGTTTTGCAGAGCTACCAGATGTGCAGGTAAAGGTGTGATGGGATCCAATGCACAATCCACACGGTCACACTTCCTGCCATGCCACATGTGCCAGAGGTGTGTGATTGTGGCCAGAGGCGTGACTGTAGGGTTGAGCCTCCCATCACGCCTTACTGCTAGTGCAGGGCGGGCTTGGTTTTTGCATCAGACCTGCCGTGGACTGGGTCAGACCTGAGGCAGAGGCCGTGCCCCTCACTCCCGTGCTTAATAGCTACTGATGCCCTGTTCCTCCAAGAACATGTCTCATACCTTTGAACCTGGCTGAACTCAGAGCTTCCACCACCTCTGGTGGCGACAAGCTCCACGTTTTAATGACATGCTGGAGGAAAAAGACCTTCCTGTTGTCACAATCCCAGGCTCCTCCTGTACCTGCAAGCTCCTGCAGCTGGGAGCTCCCTCAGCTGATTTGGGTGGGGGGCCCCCAGCCACAGGAGGACATGGTGCTCCCCTACAGTTGAAAAGACCCATCAGTGGAGGGGGCTCGTGGGCATGGGGCAGCACCTGGCCACTAGTTCAAGTAATGGAGCCAGCGACAAAGTTGTTACCTGTTTTTTGCGGAACACCTTTGTGGCTTGTTCCTTGGTTTACAGCGCCATTAATGGCTGTAACGTGCGGCCGAGTTGCAACCCAAGATGTAATTTTTAGTTAATGGCATCTCGAGTGTAACGCGTGGCAGGGGCTTGACAGTGGTGATACTGTGGCACCCCAGCGTGCTACAGCGCCCCGGTTGAGCATCACCGCCCTGGTCCATCCCAGCTGCCATACTGCTCCTACCCAACTACGAGGTAAAGCAAGGCATGCTGGGATTGGTAGGCTACCCCCAGCCATGCTTCTGCCCCCCATGGGTAGCCCTGCCTTCCTCGCAGGGCTCTGAGCTGGCCCCACGTCTCCGGCAGGACGGGCAGGAGGAGCTGAAGGATCTGACGGAGGAGTCCCTGCAGCGGGTGGTCCGTGGCCAGCACGAGCTGCTGGCGGAGCAGGAGAGGCTGCAGGGCAGCCAGGAGCAGATGGCATCCTCCCTCCGCGGCAACCTGGAGCAGCTAGCCCAGGAGGAAGCCCTGATCGCTAGTGGGCAGCAGCAGGTGGCTCAGCTCATCGAGGGCATCGCCAGGAAGATGGGTGAGCACAGGCGGCTCGTGGCACGCTGCATTGTCCCATGCATGGCACCCGCTGGCCAGCCGGCAATCCCCATGGCCTGGAGCTCCCGTGGGAGGTCCGGAAGGGGGCCCCAAGGTGCTGCTGGTCCCGGCGTGACCCTCCCTGGGCCGCAGGAGCTGGCTGGAGGCTCCTTATCCCAGGTGTAGCTGAGCATGGGGTGGGGCCTGACGGGGGTCCTGCCCCCCTCTGCCCCCCAGAGAACATGAGCATCCACCTGGGCGAGCAGGACGTGGAGCTGCAGGAGGGGCACCGGGCCGTCCTGGCCGACCTCGGCCGCGTGCAGAGCCGCACCCAGCAGGTCTACGCCAAAATCGGTACCAGGACAGGAGGGGCACGGGCTGGATGCTCCAAGCTGGGACTGTGGCAGCTGGCATGGGCAGTCTCCACCATCTCTCCCTGCCTTGGGACCCCTTGGCCCTGCCCTGGATGGGACCCCCCCCCCCCCCCCCC